ATTCTAAAACTAATAATTTTTTATGACGAGGGTAAGCGTTCGCTTTCATTTGTATTCTATTTATTTTTATTTATTTAAGTGAGCCTCTTTAGTAGTATTCAAGAGGCCTATGAGGCCCTCCAGAGATTCTCAGCCAGTTGAGAGGAGGTTCAATATGAGGTCCCAGTGATGCAGTGCTGCTCAGAACCTGCACTGCCAGAAATTTCCTGAACCTTACTTGGGGCTGCTCTAGAGCCTTCAGGACTACATCCTACAATGATCAGGGGTTCATGTGGTGCTGGGGATCAAACATGCTAGATATTCATTTTTACCCCCTGTACAATTTTTATAGTCCACCCATACCTTTTAAAAGTTCACCATTTATTAAAACAACCATCTAAAGCACATACATGTTTGATGCAGTTCCCATAAAAATTCTCATGGTATTAAGGATATGAATTATGTATTATTAATCATCATATGGGTCTAGAGTGATAGTAGTGATAACTAGGGTGCTTATGTTGTACAGAGCCAACCAGGGTTCCATTCCCGGTACTATATATGGACCCCCAAGGTTGCCAGGAGTGATCCCTGAGTGCAAAGCCAGGAGAAAACTCTGAGCACCAAGATGTAAGGCCCCCAAACCAAAATAAAATTAAACAAACTTGTAGGTAGTTATGAAACTCTCTAAGTAGCCAAACCAATCCTGAGATAAAAAGAAGATAGATGGCTTTTCTCTCCCTAACTTTAAAATATACTGTAAAACTAATTTGTTAAAACTGTGTGGTACAAGAATTAAAAAAAGACTATCAGATTAATAGAATAGATTTGAGTGTTCAGAAACTAACTCTCTGGTACATCACTTGATCACTTGACTTCCCATCACTCATCGATTTGCTCAAGCAGGCTCCAGTAACGTCTCCATTTGTCACTGTCATGTGCTAGTGTAGCCCAATGGCGTCTATTTATTCTAGTAACATGAAGAGCCTCAAACCAATCATTCAGGGTCATGGACAGCTATTTTTGAACAAAGAAACTAGATGTATAAAATGGAACTAGAGATATAAAATGGAAAATGAATTTTAAAACAAATGGTGCTGAGAAGACATGTGACATGTACTTAGTCAAATGTGGGGGAAGGTGGGAAGAAATACCTGTCAATTTAGATTTCTGTCAAACATATTTCAATAGTTGAGGCCCTCAAGAGCCTCACACTATAACAGTATTTAAATCAAAATGATTAAAGACTCTAATATTAAACCATATCCATAAACACATTTAGAAAGGGATGGACAGATGTTTGTCTCCAGGATATTATCTCCAGGGTATCTTCAATGATTTGATATAATTGACCCTAAGAGCAAAAGCAAAAATAAACAAATAGAATTATATCAAAGTAAGAACTGTTTAGCCTCTTGGCAGCAATGGGTATGACCCAACCTCTCACCACCTCCTCACCAGTAAAAGAAAAATTAAAAATTTTTGTAGTATGAAAGTAACAGTGACTATGATACAGTGACATCCTACAGATTGGGAGAAAATGTTTTCTCAGTAACATCTCACAAAAGGGACTAATTGTGGCCAAGAGAGAATATATCAGGTAATGTGCTTGCCTTGCATTTGGCTGACCCAGATTTGATTTCTGGTGCCCCCAAATGGTTCCCCAAGCACCACCAAAAGCAATTCCTGACCACAGATCCAGGAATAACCTCTGAACATTGCCAGGTGTGTGCCTGCTTAATTAAACAAACAAAACAAATAAAATAAGCAAAAAACCCAAAGAACTAATACTCAAAATTTATAATGCACTCACAAAACGTATTTAGAAAATATAAATAACCCCACCAAAAAAAGAGTGAAAGGGGCCCAAGACACAGTTGATAGGGTACAAGCAGCCAACCGAGGTTTGCTACTGGCACACCATATTGTCCCCTGATCCCTGCCAGGAGAGATCCTTGAGCATAGAGTAAGTCAAAAGTAAGCCCTGAGCTCTGATGGGTGTGGCCTGAAAAAAGAAATAAACTGGGCACAAGAGCTTAGACTTCCTCAAAGAAAACATACTCATGACCAATAGGTTTATGAGAAAACATTCTTGAACACTTGTCAGAGAAATGCAAATCAAAATGACAATGGGATATCACCTCGCACCAGTGAGGTGGCACATATTAAAAAGACTAGAATCATCCAGCGCTGATTGAATGTGCAAAGGAAGGAATCTTGATTCACTATTTGTGGCAATGGTATCAGGTTTTGCCTCTATGGAAAATAGTAAAGAGACTTATAAACACTACTAATAAGACATAAGCTCCTAAATGAACCAGTGATTCTACACCTTGGCATCTATACCCCAAGGATCCAAAACTGCTAATTAAAAATATGTTTCTTCCCTATGTTCTTTTAGACACTATTCACAATAGCCCCAATCTGGAAACAATGCAAGTCACCTAGGACAGAGGAATAGACAGAGAAAAGGTAGTATATATGCAATGGAATACTACTCAGCTATGAGAAAATATGAAATCAAGCAACTAATTTCTACTGGGATGAAACTGGAAAATATGTTGAATTGAGTTAGTCAAAGAGAGAAACAAAACTCTACCTCTCTCATGTGTGGACTATAAATAAGCATAGTAATAAAAATTTAAATGACGAATGATAACAGACCTTAAGAGTTAACATATAGAATTGACTTTTCTGTAGGGTCAATGAAAAGGAACCTAGAAAGAGTGGTGGAGGACACTAAAATTCTGGTGCTTGGGGCAGTGTAATAATATTGTATGTCTGACATACTATTATTAATCATATTATCCTTAATAGTACCTATATGAAAAGAAAAATTTAGCCCTTTACTCTAAATATATGTGCATTAGAAATTTTATTTGTCCAGAAAGAAAGAAAGAAGAATGAGAGACAGAGACAGAGAGATGACTAAACTATAGTGTGGTCTAACCAAAAATTAATTAGTTTTTCAGAGGTTGAGGATGTATATCAGATATAGAGTATTTGCTTTGTATTTTGTGACCCTGTGTTCAATACCCAGTGCTACAAATACTGATGCTTCTGCTGCTGATGCTGATGTTGATGGGGCTTGAGACGCAACTCACCAGTATAGACTCCCTGCTTCACATGCAAGAGAACTGAGTTAGATTCCTGACACCCTGCAGAATCTTCTGAGCACTGCAAAGAGTAACCACTGGGAACCAACCTGTACACCAGTGAGAACCTCTAGGCACCAGTGGATGTGGCTATAGACAAGTAATGTGGCTATAAACAAATAAATAACAAAAGTTATTCATACAAAAATGTTGGGAATTGGCAATGTGAATTTGTATTGTTGGCTCATAAAACTGTTGTAAGCACAGTATCCTCAGAAAATGCTATTTCCCTCAGATTTGATGGCTTGTGATGACTGGGAGTTTGACTTACATGTTTGAAGTTATGATCAGAAAAACAATCGGAAAAATACAAATCTTGTGAGCTATCAGTCTCCTAACACTTGGTAACTTCTCACATACAAATGACCAATATTATTTTACAAGTTTATCCCTTGGTGTTTCAGAAAACAGGAGAAACAGTTTATTAAAATCTGTAATATTGACAATGTTTCTATATCAAAAAGAATCATATGAAGGATGAAGAGATAGTCAAGCAGGCAAGGTGCTTGACTTGAATGAGGCTAACCTGGGTTCAATTTCTAGTACCTCATGATCTTTGAGCCCACAGGAGTTATCCCTGAAGGCAGAATCAAGAATAAGTTCTGAGAACAGTCAGGTCTAGCACCTAGCTCCAAAAATGAATCATCAAAAAGCCATAACTGATTAAATATCCTAATGCATTTTTAATTGTTTACTTGTATTCCATGGATGATGATATCATAATTTCCTTTTGCCTGTATTTATTAACATTTCTAAGAAAACATTTTAATGTCATAAAGATGCATAAATGGTATCCAGGGAATATAATTCTACTCTGAGAATTAAACATCTTTAAAAAAAGACAAAATATTCAAATTTGAATTAAATAATTTAATCAATTACAAATTTAATATTTTTATTTGAAGGTTCTGAAACCAAATCCAGTTTAGAAAATATAGGAGTGTCTATAAATTCATCTCTAAATTGCACATATTTTATTGAGAAATCTGAAGCATGATAAAGTGGTAGTATTGTCTTATTTTAAACAACTGATATATGTCTATGTAATGTATTGTATACCTAATCTTGTTATACTTCTTGAGCATTCAGATTCAGCCTTAATACTTGGGTACATCCAATGACATCATATGTGCATATATTTGTTCTAACAACTCAACTTCTTGTAAAGTTAATGAGCATGCATATAAGTATATAATTATTTTAGAAACTGCTGACCATCTATGATCACTTAGTTAACTATTTACTCTGCACATTTGAATTGGTCTACGGTTTTTGACAAATAATTTACTACAAATGCACTATAAGTTATAAAAACAGAACATTTTGTGCTACAGTGCTGCCTACATAATTTGAGAATTACAAGACAAATGTTCAAAAATAAATGATTGAGGTGGTGGCTTGTCACTTTGTGTAGCATGGGAACAGGCTTTTGGACCCACGAGAGCCATTCTCCTCTACAGGTTCCAGTGACCCTCCTCTCACGGGAGTTCCTTCACTCAGTGGTCACGCATTTCTTCACCACTCCCAAACTCATCACATACTTACAAAGACATCCTAACATTGGCTCCTAACTGCACAGAAGCATGCAAGATACAACTCCAAACTGCAAAGGTCAAAATGATAAAGTGACACAGAAATCCACCAAGTTTAAGTGAAGAAGCTAACCAATGACCCAAATGCAAACAGTGAGCTATATAACCTCTTTGATAAGAAATTTAGAATGGAACCATTACATAAGGAGATCAAAAATAAGTGATTGACTTTAGGATTTTATGTAACTTTAATGACCTAATAATTGTAATGAAAATTGTAGAATAAAAAAATTAAAATACTTAAATATATAATATTTTTAAACTGTAAGTACAATGATAACACTGGTTAGATGTCACAAAATAGGAGGAAGTGCCTTAATTATATGTGTGTTGCAGGCTAAAGCCTCTTCCATTCTTGTCAAGGGGAGTGCTAATCTTCTCTCCTTTCAGTAACAAATCTCACAATGGAGATGTTACTGGTGCCCACTCGAGCAAATCAATGAACAATGGGAGGACAATGCTAAGTACAATGATAAAAACTATGTCAATAAAGGTGAAAAAATATACACCATAAAATATTTATAAAGTCACAGAAAGATTCTATGCATAATCTTCTTAAAGATTTCAATGCTATAGTTTTCTTATTGTATTGTCCAATTAAAATGGTGATTTCAAGCACGAAGTGAGGAAACAGTAGAATGAAACTAATTCATTTTGTTTTCACAGTGTTGTTTGCAATTTTAAACAACAAAATTTATTTTCACATTATTCAATGCATAGATTAATATACTCTATTCTACTTTAACTTATATTTATTCTAAGTCAAAATATTAGGCACCTAATAAATTTATTGTTTGATTGATGTGTTTTACTACACAACCACCACAAATTCTGTTACTATAGTTTTTATCCTCTCAAAATTTTATTCTGCAATTGTTGGATATTGACCCTAAGTGCTTTAGGTGAATTACCCCTTTTCCTCCCCCAAGAGAAACTTACAGTGCTCTTACAAGTGCCCCCAGCCCCCGGAATTTATCTTTAAACTTTCCTTTGTGTTTTACCTCTTATTTTCACAATTCCTCAAGTCAATCTTGGTTACTTATGAGTCAAACCTTCTGGTAAACCTGGACTTTGTATTTGTAGTGAATTATTTGCTTTTCTATTTCCCCTATAGCCTTTTCATATTCTTCTATAGAGCAATGTTCTTTACTTAAACACAGATCATTAATACTATGCTTCTAATATTTTGGAGTTGATTGACTCTGGTATGCATCTTCTCTTGGGTACCCATCATAATTACTTGACTCAGGCTTCAGTTGACATATACTAATAACCCAAAAAGGAGGGTCCCGCCATGGGCCTTGGATGGACCTGGGCAAAGCTATCACAGCATTGAAATGGGACAATCTAGGAAGCATTAAAGCATGGTCTTGATGCAAGCTGTTATGACTTGATAGGACCCCCAGAGGGAAAGGGAAGCTGTGGGAAGCCAGTTCTTGGCCACAGAACATGTCATGCACATCCACACTTAAAATTTTATCTCTTACTTCTTTACTGAATCTTATTCCAATACTCAACTTAGTAGATCCTCGCGCTTATTCCATAAATTGTCTATTGTCGTATCTCTGAAGAAAGTCAATTAACAAAAAAAAAAAGATTGTTTAGCTACTTTTGAATAAAGCAAAAAGAGTCATAAAATAATTCCAGGAAAAATGGATAGCTCTGAAACAGAAGAGTGAGAGTAGGAATCTAGACGTCTCTCAGAGTCCTTTGGTAAAGCAGATGGATAAAACTGGACAAACTAGCAGATGAGGAGGGTCTTCCCCAGTGAGAGAAGGATGTTCCCATTCTCACATAGCAGGTGTACCAAAGACAGGAGAGTTCAGAACTTGTTAATAGGACAAGCCAAAAAATTCAGGGATTTGCAAATTGAACAGGTGAAAATGTAACTGGTGATAATTGAAAGCTAATTATCCTCAGCTCACAATTGGCAACCAGGTGTTCTGAGTCACCTAAAAGGCAGAGCAGGGAGGATTGTGAGGATATTTTTTCTTTTGGCACAGATGATATAAGTGCATTTTTTGAGTTTGGCTTCAATTTAGGAAATGATTAGTCTGTTCATTGCTACTGTTTTGGCATGTCTCAGGGTTTACCACGATCAACAAGGATTGTAAAGCAAAGTAATTACGGCTTGTTTTTGAAAAGTGCCTTATATTATTCTAAATAGACTTTTTCCAAATAAATAAAAGCAGAAATATAGTAACCACCAAAGCCACATCTATTGACTGTAGGCCATCCGATAAGCATGCTGCCTTTGCTCCATAAGTTATGCAAAATCAGTATGTGCTAAGGAAAATACATTTCAAGTTTATTGATATGTATTTCATAAAGGTAGGTTTTTTAAAGAAACTATTGAATAGTATTAAATTTAGTAGTGCACTCAAGAGAAGAAAAAGCTAGAAAGAAATTTTAAATTCAAACTCAAACTGCCTGATCAACTGTGAACCGTTGATTTTTTCATGAAGAAAATTTCTGTTGCTTAAAAGGTTTTATTTTGCTTTGTTTTATTTGGCTATATATATCTCTAAAATTATAAATCATGGACATCTTCAAAATGATAGTTACAGTTTATTTAAGTTAAATAAAACATTTACGCAGAAAAACATACAGAGTAACACTGCTCATTGAAAACAGGACAAATATACCTGTATAATTCCACCCAGGTAAAAATATAACTCTGCTAACAGTTTTGAAATTTCTTATGTGCCACTAATGTTGCTCCCACCAACAGGTTGTTCTGACAACTAAGCAGAGATTCATCATGCCAGACTGTGAATGTCATAAAATAGTAGTTTGTGCTCTTTTTTGAATCAATTTTCTTTTATTAAATATTATGTATGTGAGGGGGCTGGAGCGATAGCACAGCGGGTAGGGCGTTCGCCTTACAAGCGGCCAACATGGCCGACCCGAGTTCGATTCCTCCGCCCCTCTCGGAGAGCCCGGCAAGCTACCGAGAGTATTCGCTATGCCAGACACAGTAACAACAAAGTCTCCAATGGAGACATTACTGGGCCCACTCGAGCAAATCGACGATCAACGGGAGGGCCTTTACCTTTTTACCTTTTATGTATGTGAGATTTGTCTCAGTAATGGCATGTGGAAACAATTACCTCACATTTATTATTATACACTATTCCATTATCTTTTTTTACAGTTATAGATTTACAAATTTTTGTGCTTGGGTTTCAATTATACAATGATCAAGTACCCATCCTTCCACCAGTGCCCATTTTGCACCACCACGGATCCCAGTATCCCTCCCACACCCATCCCCCCATCCCACCCTGCCTCTATGGCAGGGAATTCCCTTTTGTCCTCTCTCTCCTTTGGGGTGTTGTGGTCTGAAAAAGAGGCATTGAGTGGCAATCATGTTCAGTCCATAGTCTACTTTCAACATGTATCTCCCCTCCTGGGAGGATCCTCCAAACACCCTTTATTTGGTGCTCCCTTCTCTATCTGAGCTGCCCTTTTCCCTAGAGTGCCCGGCTGGCCTCTAAGCCATGAAGTAATCCTCCTGGTTCATTAATCTCAGCTATTCTTTGGTATTAATCTCCTATTTTGTTACTTTATGTCCCCCAGATGAATGCAATCTTTTTATGTCTATCCCTCTCTTTCTGACTCATTTCGCGTAGCATGATACTTTCCATGTGGTACCACTTGTATGCAAAATTCATGACTTCATCTAGCTTAATATCAATATATTCATCCATTCTACCCTTGGTGAGTGGTGGAGTAGTTTCTAGTTTGGGATTTAATCTATATATGATAGCTGTTTTGTTTATTAAATAGCCAAAGCACAAATTTATGATACATATATGAAATGTTTAAATATTACAGTTGACAAAAATGTGCACAAGATGACTTTCTTTGTAATATCATGTTCTTAATAATTATGGTCAGTTATTCTTGTCTAGCATCATGGGACAGTCTTGGAGCAAGTCTATTCACTTGGGCTATAGATGACTATTACAAGATACTCCTTATCTAAAGTCAGTATTGTTTCATGATTTTTAAATCTGATCCTAAGAAAAGTGAGTTCATTCTGAGGATCAATATATAAAGCCAAGACTGTGGTCTTGGATTTCGTCATCAGCTGATGGAGAAGTCCCACATGCTGATCTATTGTTGAATTGTCCAGGGTGGATCGGGATGCCTTCTGCATACATGACCATCATTATAGTAATGCCTTTATGACTCTAGATTCTCTTTAGAGTTTTTTTTACTACTTCCAAGACTGGTGGTGAGACCCAAACAGTAAATACATGCTTCTGAACACTCCAAGGCGAGTGACCCAAAGTCAGGTTTTATCTATGTGTGAACATTTTCTGTTACACACACATGTATGCACTATCCCTCTCTTCTTACCAGTGGAGGAAGATGCTGAAAAGGAAAAGGGTGCCAGGTGGAGGCTACAGATTTCTGAGTTATCTTACCTTCAGTCTTTGGATTTTTCCTCATCAAGGGTCTCCATACAAGACCCACTAGGAAAGCAATCAATTAATTGACTTTCTTTTCAAGCATTACTACTTTCCTAAGTTTAGATGCATGACTGAGGATTCCCCCCAGTGATAAGTAGCATGCCAGCAGATCAACTTGAATCAAGGTAAAATGGCACCCCTGAGACTTACAAAAGGAGGAGGTATAGGAAGATCATTGGAAAGTGAACTAAGACTAAACCACCTAGTGATGGATACAAATACTTGTTGGTCTTCATGGACACATTCTCCAGATGACCTGAGGCCTTCCCTCCCATAAATGAAACCACTAAGACTAGTAAAATCCTTCCTAAATGAACTACTGCCTCACCATGGATTGACACACAGCCTTCACTGAGGCATTGGCTGTTTCTAAAACTTTGGGAATAAAATCAAAGTTGTATTGTGCAAACAGACTTTAGAGTTTAGGACAAGCCAATGAATCAGGCTTTGAAAATCATTTTGTACAAGTTTTTGCTAGAAACTGGTGCTGAGCGTCGGTGCTCCCTTGACCCTGTCCCAGACTATGCACACCCTATAACAAGTTTCCTTGCTCTCTTGTGCTTCTCCCTATGGTGGGAGATGTCAATTTGGTAGGAATTTCCAAGAATTTCCCTTTAGAATACCTCAACTGTCTCCAGCAAGTCCAGCTCCAATCTTGGAGATACCTGATGAAAAGTGAGATCACAGAGGAGCGGCCCGTCCCACACACCTCTGGGCTGGGAGACCCGGTTTATATTAACAAGTTCTAGAAGGAAGGACTAACACCTATCTGGAAAGGCCCTGACACCATGATTCTGACTATTCCAACTGCAGTCCATATTGATGAGATCACTACCTGGATCCATCACTCCTGAGTGAAGGCTGCAAAGCAACTGCTCAGCCAGTTGAAGGCCAGCTGCAACCCTTTAGAACCACTCA